ATTATTTGTTCATGTATGTGAAATTTGCTTCTAAGGTTTATAAAATACTACTTCTAGTCACGGCGTAAATGAAAACAAACAAGACGTATTCACACAAACACCTCCCACCACAGCAATATTAAAAATGAATAGTGTTGTCCCCGATACGCGAGTATTTCAACCTGTTGTGAGCTAAATACGCGGGAACAAATAAATGGTCGAATATTAAACCAAAGCGCGTCTGTGATGTGGGCTATGAACTTACTGGCCGAATATCAAACCAGTTTGCCACTAGGAAATGTAAAAATTATCTGTGGTTGAAATATCGATCAGTATCCTATAAGGAGTTAAAAATACGCGGTTCGGTTTTGTCACTTTGCCTGCTTAAAAAAATCTTAACTCAGAGCGCAAAATAACATTTCTGCTCAAACCAAAAATGTGTTCAGTGCGATAGATTCTAATTTCAAGGCCATTTTGTCAGTTTGTATTTTATAAGCAAAGACTCAAAAATAAGTAAACACATACTGTTACTAACAAAAATTACTGAAAATATTTCGTAGATTAAAAAAATTCAATAATATAAAGGTGTGTTCATAAAAAAATAAAGCTTTATTCTGACGCCCTTTTTTGAGCCATCCCGTATACTCAAAATTATTTTAAATTATGCCGTTTAGTGTTTCTTATATTTTTCATACATATTTAATAGTTTTTTTTTGTAATTTATTAAAAGGCTCGCAAATTTCGGTAAGTAGATTAACCCGTAATCACAGACGACCGGTCTGTGAGACGTACTCCGTGAGGCCAGTATTTTGTTTTTCTCCTCCACGACGAGTTGTGCTATTGGGCTTCTCTATACCTTTAAATCAATCAGTTAGAACAGCGTTTTTCAAACTTGTTTGGCAACGGAATCCTTTCAAAAAACGAAACATTTGACAGAGCCCTAAACTAATTTAAAAAAAAAAGGTCCTCAAGTAGCAAAATTAGATCCTGTCTTAGTGAAATCTAACAAAAAGAAAAGGTCCTCAAACCAGGTCCTCCCTTTTGTGGCGAACTTTCTCCTTCAGTATTTTTTTATTATGACTATTATTTTTGCGGAGCCCCCACAGAGACTGTTGTAATGTACCGGGTGTTCCATTAAGAGAGGTATCCGGCTATATTTCAGAAACTAATAATAGTACAGCTTTGGGAAAAAATATTTTTAATAAAAACGGACAAGAGAAATTGCTGGAAATTAGTTTCAAGTTTGTAGGGTGGCCGCTAGGGGACGTAATTGTGACGTCAAAACAAAAAAATGTAATTTTTTCAAAAAACTACCAAGTAATGTATATAGATAAGTATTACTATTTTAATCTTCAATGTTTTCTGAACAAAAAAGATTTAGGTGTAATTTTTGTCAGTTGTGAAATAGAGTGGTGGGAGAAGGTTAAACTTTAATTTGGAATAATGCTCATAACTTTGGTTTGGCTTTACCGAATTTAGTGAACTTGATTTCGTTTAGAAGAGCTTTTGCAGCCTCATTTTTATCTTTATAAACTGTGGCTGCTTACGTTTTATGAACGCCGCTAGAGGGCGTTAAGTTAAAAACTGACTAATTTTACGAAATTTTTCGAAAAATTTCAATATAACGATATATACCTTTTTAAATAGTAAGATAGAGAAAAAAAGCCCAATACTTTGGCGAAAACCGCATTTGGATATCTCCTTTCAAACCGCAAATTTTAGAAAAAATATAAATAAAACCTAGAAACGTAACACATTTAATGACCCAGCATTTTCTACCAGGTCCATTTGTTAAGGTATAAATCAAATTTATAAATTTCTGCAAAACCTAATGCCCAACCATGATTTTTACATATTTTAAATAATCGAACGATATTAGATAAGAATGCATAATTACCTATAAGTATAATAATCCATTGAGTGTGTATATTTGCATATCAAGTAAGCTTTGAAAAACACAAACAAAAGACCTAATACTTAAGGCCGTCCCAAATGTTCAAACTGCTTTTTATTATTTTGAACATATAGTTCCAACCTTTCCCTGGTTGACAAAACAGCTCTTTCCACTTTTGCAGGTCAGGATGGATAGTATCTAAAATATTTTTATCGTTGGCGATCCAGTTACAGATAATGGGCTTACGCACATACTTTGATTTTCTTTACTATACGATACAAGAGAGAGGCCCGACACGCCCAACATAGGGCGCGGCCATTTTGATTCCTATGCCACAGTTTATAGCTAAAGAATCAGATGGCTCACTCTGCGTCGGCACTTTTGATCTCAATGTTCCAGTTTATACACTGCGCAACTCGGATAATACAATATATGACAACCGCCTATAATATAACAGCAGTTTTCTGCATATCCTGAATTTGTATCCCTGGAGTGGATGTTATTTTGGAACTTTCAACTGGTCCGAGTGAGCTAACTGATTCTTTAGCAATAAACTGTGACTCCAAAAATAATATTCACTGACACTGACAGCAGCAAGCAAAATATCAGGTGCGTTTTAATCATCCGCTTCTGCTTCCGGAATTGTCGGTTCAGTCGTACTAACCTGTCAGATTAAAACAAGAAAACCGACAATTCCGAAGCTCCGAGCAAAGCAGAAGCGGATGATTAAAACGCACCTATTAAAAATATTGCGCCAAGATGTAGGCAACACGTAATAAGGGTTCAAAATGGCAGAGTTTTCTATCTCCTTTTAAAAGGCACTCAGAAAGCTGCGCAGTGCGACCATTCTCCGTATAGTAAAAGAAAATCAAAGTATGTGAGTAATATAAACTTCGTCTTTGGACAATTTTCTAATATAGGCTTTGTTTAAAAGATCTTAAAATTTCTGACAGTAGCTTTCTGCGGTTTTTTTGTTTTAATCCATTTTTCGTTTAGTGCAACAAAGTCTCCTAAAGGCATTCGTTTTGCTTTCAGGCATAACAATATTGTCATTCTTCCACAACTGGCCTGTTTCATATCTGTTGCCAACTCTTTTCATAGTCATGTCTAATATTTTTTGGGCACGTCTGTCTTCTGGTGATAAACTTTTCTCTTTTTTGCTAGAAATAGATTCCAGTTTCCACTGTTCTTTTACCAGATCATGTAGAATGTCTAAAACATCTTTAGTATTGTTATTGCTACTCTGGATATAACATTTTGAGTAGGTTTTGGACTAATTTTTTCCATGAAGAACCCATCCCAGCAGGGTCTTACTGATTGCGAGACCACTCCAAGGACCTGTTATTAACTGTCGGTTAACTAATAGGGGCCAATTGTCTTTTCCTATTATTATTTTAGGATGCGCATGTTTCATTGAAGATATCTTACCACTGATATTTGGATAACCGTTTTTAAGTTTATATTGTCTGCGAGGGTAAAGACCACATACTTTGATTTTCTTTTACTATACGGAGAATGGTCGCACTGCGCAGCTTTCTGAGTGTCTTTTAAAAGGAGATAGAAAACTCCGCCATTTTGAACCCTTATTACGTATTGCCTACATCTTGGCGCAATATTTTTAATAGGTGCGTTTTAATCATCCGCTTCTGCTTCGGAATTGTCGGTTTTCTTGTTTTAATCTGACAGGTTAAAACGACTAAACCGACAATTCCGGAAGTTGAAGCGGATGATTAAAACGAACCTGATATTTTGCTTGCTGCTGTCAGTGTCAGTGAATATTATAAGTCACAGTTTATTGCTAAAGAATCAGTTAGCTCACTCGGACCAGTTGAAAGTTCCAAAATAACATCCACTCCAGGGATACAAATTCAGGATACGCATAAGACTGCTGTTTTATTATAGGCGGTTGTCATATATTGTATTATCCGAGTTGCACAGTGTATAAACTGAAACATTGAGATCCAAAGTGCCGACGCAGAGTGAGCGATCTGATTCTTTAGCTGTAAACTGTGTCACAGGGTTCAAAATGGCCGCGCCCTATGTTGGGCGTGTCGGACCTCTCTCTTGCCTCGTATAGTAATCAAAGTATGTGGTAAAGACAATCTAGTTGTTCGAACGTGTGAGAAGTTAACAACTAGAGTTAGAAGCTAACAACTACAAAATCAACGCATACATATAATAAATATCACTGTTAAAAATTTTTATTCGTCGAGGAGTGTCTGGTAGACGTCCGGGGTCTGTAAAAGTATAACTATTTTTAAATTTGAAATTTTCCTAATTTAAATTTTTTTATTAGGTTTTGGGGATGAATAATAATTGTGTAAGATATGCCCTTCAAAAACGAAAAGAAAAACGGCCTACATTTGTATGGTCTGTAAACGGCCGATGTGTTTGGAATGCACGAAAAAAATATGCGCCGCCTATATGAAATCAAATTACTGATTTTATAAACTCCAACGCAGATGTATTGTATAGTCCAAAAATAAAAATATATACACCACTAAATATTAATAAAATATTAGATTTTTTCATAACTAATGTACGAACACCGCAGCAGAATATTTTCTGTCAAATCAATTTTGCATTCCATGACTTCACAGTCTTCCTTAACAACAGATGAGGAGGCCACCATTTGTCTACGAACCGTGAACTTCTTTTTTCAAGAATAACGTAGATATAGGCAACACATTATATACTACTTTTTATATCTATTTCTTAAAATAATGTGATCGTAGAAAAAATCTTGTGTGTATTTTAAAAGAAAAGTTCGTTGCCGCTTTCGACCAATTGCCGCGCGGCAACTTTTAGTCTCAAGTCTCGAAGTATAACTTAATCGCACTTAAAACACAAATAGCTATTATAATTTGTGAATTTTCGTTAGTGGGCCGTAGAAAAAATATACTGTACAAGTAGAGTTAATTTTCCATATTGGACTCAGACAATTGAGCACTTTACCTAAGGCGTCGTGATCAATCTTCGTCTTTGTGCAATATGGCCGTCATATTATCCAATCTTGTTGCACATATACTACTATTTTAAAACATTATTGTAGAGGAGCTATAAAACGTCAATTTTAATGTCCTGCACCAATGATTCCATCACTCACTTGCGATATTTGTCATTCCAGGTCACATTCCTGATGATGCCTCTAGAGATAGCTTGGGCTTCGACTGTACAATGGTTGGCTGGAGATGCGATGTGCAGGATTATGATGTTTTTCCGAACGTTCGGATTATACTTATCCAGCTTCATTCTCGTCTGTATCAGCGTAGACAGGTAAGAAAATTAACTCAAATACTTCATTTTTAAGGCCGCTATTTCACTGTATTTTAGCTATAACAAGAAATGTTTTTTCTTTTCCAATTATGTAAAAAGTATGTTATAATTTCTGAATAAATTTAGAGCATTTAATATTTTTGATTGAAATATTTGACGCAATTGGGTCCATATGAGTTATACCAAATAACTTAAACGGTGATTCATGTCTCAATTTTCTACAAACTGGATTCATGAACATGATAAATGATTTGCCATCAATCGTGAGACACATGTGGTTTATGCAGGATGGTGCTCCACCCCAATAGTACGAAATTACCTTGATAATGAATTTCCACAACATTGGAGCGGCCGAGGTAGCTAATATGCTTACCTAGCACGTAGTCCAGACTATAACCCTATGGATTTTTATTTTTGAGTGTTTCTTAAATTAATGGTTTAATATTTAAATTTGCCGTCATATTTAAGTTGGCAACGTCCAGTCTGATCTTTGGTAATTTCCTAGTTTTGACACAGATAGATTTTACTTGTCAATTGTCATGACAAGGTGTTTACTTTTTTTATTCAGAACTGACAACATACTTTTAAATATTAGAAAATCATTCGATAAACGAATGCGAAGTCAATAGTGGACACTTGGAACATTTTGTTAAAGTAGTAAAGCATTTAATAATGTTGAGTTTATTATTTTGAAAGCTGTTAAAATTATAAACGTATTTCAATAAAAAAAAAACACTTTAGTACCCTGTATATTTTTTAATATCAAGAATTAAACTAAGGTCAATTGCTTTATATCGAAAGATTTTTCACCAAAGAATTCATAGTTGACCTGTGTCCCATTATTAAAAGATCACGTATGCAGATTATCTAAAATTATAAGTGGAAATTCTTTCAATGAATTACTAAAAATTTCTCCAATATTATGTCAAATTAATGTCAAATTGAATCCAGAAACATTTTCTGTTCTGTTTTTATCAGGCTACTAACTGCTTTTACTATTTTAATAATTATAAATTGCATAGAATATTATTCTCAACAAGCCTGACTTTGTAAGAGATCTTGGAGTATATTTTGATTTTTCAATAAATTTGTTGAATCAATGGTATCTGCGAATAAAACTTAAGATTTTTCATAAGAAGCTGCAAAAAATTATCCGATATTTCCACATTAAAAATAATATTAAACAGCTTTGTTCGATTGAAACTTGATATAAATCTGAGGTATGGAGCCCTAGACCAAATATATCTATATTGATCGAATCAGAAAAAATTTATGAAATGTGCTCCTCTTATATAAGATGGCATTTATCCCCCAAGTGGCTATCATCATGATCTATTATTAACAATGTTTAAACTTAATGATCTGACAAAATGTAGAACTTTTAGCAAAAATGCTGTGGAGCAATCCACCCTCCCCACCTTACAGTAACAGATACATATATAGATACAGAACAACACTCTAGAAAATTCTGAATGGTCACATAGACAACATTAATTTGTTTTTATTACGTCTATGTCTCCAATAATAATTTACAAAACTAACTTAGAAAAGAATGCCTCCAGCGAAAAACATATTTCTATTTAATTAAATATAAACGTTAAAATTGGGATGCTCCATAAGTTTGTTAAATAAAATAAAGTAAATATTTCATAAGCTTGTTTTGGAAAAACCCTAAACAAAATAAATAAATTCGATGTGGAACTAATCGGGAATTATATCGCTGGCGAGGGGATTTTAATCAGATTGGTAACATTAAATATATTAAAAACACGAAGGAAATGAATAAATAAATGACGAAAACGTATTAAATAAGTCGGCGCAAATAAGCAACTAAATCAAGGAAACGTATTAAATACATGGGCGTAAATAAATAACTAAATTAAAGTCAAATATACCAGGCGCAGTTGGAAAGTTTATATTTTTAATTATTGGCCAGTATTCAGGGGGAACTACATATAGTTAGTGAATATCACACCGGCTAACCAACATTAGAACATGAACACCAGTTAACACAAAAAACTCTGGATAGAACCGCAATAGAGTTTTTTTTTATATTAAATTGACGCGTTCGTTTTTTTTTCTTTCAAATTTTTGTTAATTTTGCGATCTAGTTTTGTAAAACCTCTTGGTTGAGCCACTTGTAGATCTCCTGAGTGGCCTCTGTTCCTGGAAATTTTACAGTCCGTCCCGTATAGCATTTCCTTTTGTCTATAATAATATTTTTGTAAAAGCCGGACGAGAATCTCGAAAATTCGCTCTCATCGTGTAAAATAGATTTTGTGTTAACTCTTAGACGAGCCGCCTTTGATCGAATGCCCAACGTAGTGCATTAATTCTATTCCACGCAAAATTTTATTTTTTATACACCCGAGTATCGTAAATTTTGATACAGTTTAATTCAACTTGTTGGTTTCCTTTTTTTAAGTAAATCGCCTGCTTTATTTTAACTTATTTGTTTTTAAAAATTAGTTTTCCGTAAAGTGAATTTATTTTCCGTATACAGGGTAGAGCATAATTGACTCCTGGAGTTTGAACCGATTATTTAATTCAACTAATTTTTTTTTGTAAATAAATTTTTTTTAGGTAATTTGTTTTCGGTATATAGGGTGGAGCATAATTACTTCCTGAATTTTGATTCGTTTAGTTAATTCAACTTATTTGTTTTTGAAAATTAATTTTAATTTATGTAAAAAATTATTTTCTGTATTCAGGGTGGAGTTAGTTGCTTCCTAAATTTTGGAACGGTTATTTAATTCGACCTGTTTGCTTTTGAAAATTAATTTTAGTTTGTGTAAAAAAATATTTTCTGTATACAGGATGCTTAATTGTTTCTCGTATTTTTGAATTGTTAATTATTTAAATTTTTTTTTTGGGAATTAATTATACTATTGGTGCACAATTTGAATTTAGGTAAAAATTTATTTTCTGTATACAGGGGGAGTCATAAAGTCCTGTGTGATTGTTTGATTTCCTTATATAACTCAACCGATCTTTCCAACCGGTGTTCTTTAAATTCTTTAAATTTACTAAACAGTGGAATGTACAAATTATACTTTTATTTTTTAAATTTTGTTTTAGATTTAATTAATAAAATGAACCTAATGTTTCAGTCAGAAAAACCAAAGATAACGACTCTCTTTCAGAGCATCTGTAATCTTTATAAGGTACTTTTACGATGCTTTATAAAAAAAGTGTAGTTGATTGTGCTCCTTTAAATGACATTGACCCGAAAAACAAAAAATTCAGCTAAACCCTTCGTCCATGTATTTTGGGGCGTACGTTGAAGAATATATAGAAAAAAATAAAGATATTTTAACTGAAGATGATATACAAAGTTTTAAACATAAAAGATTGGCATTTTATACAGAGCTGTGTACTCAAATTAAAAATCGTTTTCCTTTTGAGAACGCATTATTAGAAAATTTAAACGTTTTAGAGCCAAAAATTGCATACTCTGGCAACATTCCTAGCTTAACTAAACTTCTTAATTGCTTCCCTGTTTTAAAAGACAAAGTAAATATTGAAAAACTTAATTTAGAATGGAGAATCATCCTTGACTTAAAAGAAATGGAAACACATTTAGATGAGTTAGATACCTTTTGGTCTCTTTTGTTATGCCAAAAAGATGGCAATAACGATTTTCAGTTTTCAAATTTAATAATTGTTACAACTTATGTATTTTCTTTACCGCATTTTTCGGCGTCAGCTGAACGAATGTATTCACAATTGTTTTTAATAAAAACTAAACCCAGAAATAGGTTACTTATTGAAACCTGTCAAAATTTATTACATACAAAATTTTATGTATCAGAATGTAACAAGGTTTGTTATAATTTTACGCCAAACGACGAAATTTTAAAAAGAAACGTCGTCTATCCAAAACAAAACCAAGACACTGATATACCACATGTAGCACTAGCTGCACAACCTATTCAATACATCGACACTGAAACTGTCTAGTATGATCTGTATATTAGTTTTAGCCATACTCAGCATGTTATATTTAGATATATATATTTTTAAAATATGTGATTTTTTTTTAAGTTCTTAAAGTCAGTTATTATTTTGTTTACTTTTTTAGAATTATATTTTTATTTTATATACGTTATTTTTTATTTTATCTAACTGTTAAAATTTTGCTTTTATTTTAGTATTATATTTTAGTTTTGTGTTGCAATAAAAAAACTAGTGCGAACGCCTTTTTTTTAAATAATAACCATTTTAAAAAATCTGCTACATTTTTGTCGGATCTACTACAATTTCGAGAGTCAACTACTACAGAATAAAAAAAAATCTGGCAACGCTGGGTCCAGCTTCTCGTGTAAGCATCCATGCCTCCTGTCTCCGGCAGCAGATATTTTTTCTTAACCATCCTCCCGAGTCCTACCGCTTGCCGAGTCCTCACTGGCTGCGTATGCGCGTACCGATCTTTGATTTGATTGAAAAGTGGACATATTTCTTATTATTGTCGTAGCAGTTGAAAATAGGTTATGTTAAAAATGCAGAAAGATGATATTATAATAATAATAATATATATTCAAGAAATTATAAATAAATAGGAATAGTTACAAGTATAAATACAAAGTTTAATAATTATTCAAATGAATACCTAGTATAAATACAGAATAAATTAGACATTGATAACTCACTGATGCATTATAATGTATGTGTGCAAGCTAGTTTGTTTCGATTTAGAATGATATAGAAATAAATAAATAATAAAAGAAAATAAAAGTATCTTCGTTTCTCATTTTTGTAAGCAAGGAATATAGGTATACTTATATAAGTAAAAAATAGAGTCCGGTACGCTTTAGGTACGACGGAATTTGAAAAATTAATTTAAACAATAAAAAGTACCCATTCTAAAGAATAAATTTCTAAAAAAATGCTGATAACAGAATATTTTCTAAGAAAAGTTAAGATTTTGATGTTTCTAACCGAACATTTTATCATTTTCTTACAGTTTTGCCAAGAGTTTCAGTACTTTACACCTTATACTACATAAAATATGTGAATATTAACAAGACTGAAATATTTTTATATCGTAAAATTAATTAATTAATTAGGGCAAGGAAAATCTTTATAAATAAATTTCAGTTAGTTACAAGATAAAATACGTAAATATTGATATTACCCATTCTTTAATTGTGAAAAAAATTACGATATAGCCTATAAAATTGTAAATTTGATAAAATTTTCTTATCCTTTTTTTTAGAAGTATACAATATGTAATGGGTACTTTTTATAGCCCAAGAGCCCACTGCAAATTTTTACCGTCATCTGATAACGAAATGAAATATACCCCAAAAGCATGGAAAAACATTGTACTTTACCAAATGACACCTGTGCCAAACCCAATCCTGAGCAAAGTGGCTTAAAAAAATTATATTATATTAAAAAAATCACATAAGGCATGATAGCGCTAATTTTGTTTGCCCTTAAAGTTTTCCAGAAAATAACATTCAAATATAATCTTGATATATATCGTTTAAGAGAAACATTTTCTTCCTCTTAACATTGCACAAAAATATCTATCCATGATTAGTAGGTAAAAATCATTAAAAATGTGAATCAATGTTTGCTGATTTAAAAAATTTATTTGTATGCCTATTGTTGTGATTCATTTTTACAGGTTGCCATAGAAACGACAAAAAAACTGCTATGATTATGGTTTAAAATTATTGTCTAACAAGAGTTTATAATTATTATTGACTATCTCTGCAAATGGTGTATACAATGCCATCCTTCTTCCTTTCATACATAAACATGGTTTAAAAGGTAGGTAAAATATTAATAATTCAGGTTTAAAAGCTAGTTTCACAATGAATTAGGATTGTAATTTTCAGGGAAAACACAATTGTCGTTGTCATGTCTTATGTGATTTTTTGAATATAAAATAATTTTTTTTAACCACTTTGCTCAGGATAGGGATTGGCACAGGTGCAATTTGGTTAAAGTACAATGTTGTTACATGCCTTTAGAGCATATTTCATTTCGTTATCAGATGACGGTCGAAATTAGCAGTGGGCTCTCATATTATTAGTGTAATCAATTTTTTTTTCTAAATTTCGAGGTACCTAAAGCGTACAGGAGCCAAATTATAGAGTGAGCATCATAAGTCTTACCCCCCCTAACTAACTCGTTACTGGTGTCTTGTTAGGAAAATCGCCGAGACAGGTCGATTTTTGTGTTTTTACCATGTACATTTTTCTATGATTAGTTTATCCTTAATTTCATCCCTTACTGGAGGGGAACAACCCTTTCGAAAAATTTAAATGGCATGGGGGGTTTTATTCTCTATTCAACCGTGCAAAAAAAAAATTAAAATTTGCTTCATTACGTGTTGATTTATTAATGTTTAAAAATAACAGAACCTCACAAAATAGGAAAGCAACTAAACTAATAGTGACCTTCTAATGGCAAAAAGTCTTACTTCACGTCTGAACCAAAACCGAAATCATGCAGGGCCGAATTTTAATTCTAAGGATGAGTGCGCTACGTTAATTTCCGTTATTCTGAAACAATAATTAGTCGAGAATTAATAAAGCAAATTTCAAAATTTTTTGCACTATTGAATAGAGAATAAAACCCCCTTTTAAATGAGCTATCACTCACTACCCCATGCCATTTAAATTTTTCGAAAGGGTTGCTCCCCTCCAGTAAGGGATGAAATTAAGGGTAAACTATTCATACAAAAATGTACATTGTAAAAATCAAAAATCGATGTGTCTCGGCGATTTTCCTAACAAGACTCCAGTAACGAGTTAGATAGAGGGGGTAAGACTTATGGTGCTCACTGTATGTTCAGTATTTGTATAGTTCTTGATTCATTCATTTACTAACAATTTTAAAATCTAAATTTGTAGAAAGTAGAAGAATCTCGAATTGAGTTTCGGTAATACAATTGAGTTTCGGTAATACAATCCTTATAAGGGCATCGAAAGATTGGAATTTTTTAACCCTACTAAAAAAAGGAAAATACTGAACACCTCAAGGTTTTATATAAACCCAACAATTAGAAAATAAAATTATACGAAACAAAATCAACGTTAAAAGGTACTCCCCAATTATTTCAAACGCGTAAACGCAACATGTGAGGGACTCGGAAAGCGGTAGGACTCGGCAAGCGGTAGGACTCTGCAAGCGGTAGGACTCGGGAGGAAGGTTAAGAAAAAAATATCTGCTCTCCGGCAAGTCTTCTTTGACGTCATTCGGAAAAATGTATTTGAAAAATTTTTCCGCAACAGCAGTTATGTAGTCTTTGAAAGTAGGCATGGATGTTTCGTGGTGCATGTCCGTTATTCTGGCGTAACGGTCGTACCCCAGGGCCAGCCGAAGACACTTATTTTGGATTCGTTGCAGTTTTTGTATATGGCTGTCCTCTGCTGAGCAGAAAACTGGAGATCCGTTCGTTAATATAGGCCTAATGATTTGTTTATACAACAGTAATTTGCACAGTCTGTTGATTGTTATTGAACGCTTTTTTAGCGTGATTTGCTATTCCTAAAACCTGTGACCAGCCCTGAACCCATACTGCTCTGACGGTATAATCGGGTTTTCTATTTCGTGTGTATGTAGTCTTTTTAGTATTATTCTGTCGATTATTTTGCCTTGTTTTAAGATCGGTATTGCATTAGCTACTTTAAGTTCTGAGGGATAGTGTTGGAGTTTAAGAACCGCGTTTGTAATATAGTGCATCTGCACATAAGCTTTCCTCGAAACATTTTTAATTAAATTGTTGCTTATGCAATCAAGTCCCGGAGCCCTCCTGTTATGAAATCTCTTTGCGACATCCCTTATTTCTTGGGGAGAAGTGAAAATGTTTGCAGGTACTGCATCCCTGTTTATATTTTTGATGTCATTTACAGTGTTTTCAATGTCTTGTTGTTCTTGACTATTTATGATACTGTTGTCGAATATATTTTGGAAGAGTTCGTCGAACACTTCACCCTTTTGTTTGTCTGTCGAGCACACTTTGTCGTCGTACTTCAGTGTGGGAAGTTGCGAAAAAGGCTTGGTAAAGCTCTTCGCAATTTTCCACACTGTGTTGTCCTGTGGGTTTGTTTAGTAATTACCATGCCAAAGTCTATGGGGACAACAAAATTTATGTCAGCACACACTAATAAAAGAACTTTCAGAGTTAACAAAGGGGGTTTCTAACAAAAAAACAAACTTTTGTTTTGTCGTCATATACAGTGTTTCTACTTAAGTCAGAACCACATGGAAAACTTTTTTATTATTGGTTTTGCAAAAAAATTCGTATGTGATAAAAAGTTCTACATGGTTCAAAACTTAAAATGCAACCATCAGATTACAATTGTTTTTAAACCGTATACGAGGTTTGTCAAAAAATAGGAATTTTACTCAAGAGTAAAGTACCTTTACAATAAAGAATATTGTTATAAAATAAAGGTATTTTGAATTAAAAATTTGCAATTATAACCATTTAGCATTAAAATTAAGGTTTGGTGATTATTTAATTTACAGCTACAAATAATTGATAACGTAAAACGTAAATAATCACCTAACCTGAATTTTTATGCTAAATGACTGTAATTGCATATTTGGATATAACTTTTAATTCTAAATAACTTTACCTTATGACATTCTTCTGTATTTTAAAAAATAAGGTACTCTTGAGTAAAATTCATATTTTTTGACAAACCTCGTATACAGCTTAAAAAAATTGATATCTGATGATTGTATTTTAAGTTTTGGACCATGCAGAACTTCTTATCATGAATAATTTTTTTTAGAAAACCAATATTAAAAAAGTTTTCCATATGGTTTCAACTTAAGTAGACAACTCGGAACGGACAGACAATAATTGAGAGAAGTCATAATAAAAACAAATGTTCTCCTTACCAATATCTTTCATTTGGCATATATCTTACTCCTATTGGGAGGTGGGGCAAAACTGCCCATTCTCCTAGATGCAAATGAAAAATAAAGAGATTGAT